GTTGTTGTTTTTGTTGTCCAATATCATGAATGTTAGAAACAAAAGCATTTTCTTGACCACTGATGAAGTGCTGCTTCTTCTTGTTCAATAGAGGCCAAGCTTGAGGGTTTTCCTCTCCTTAGAAGAAAGAAGGAGCTGTCACCATGGTGGTGGTTCTAGTAGGTGTCAGAAGGTACAGGTCAGGTACAAATCCAAACATAACTCAGTAGGAAATATCATGGGATAATGTTCAGAACTGAAATAGTATGTTTGTGCACAAAGCATACAGAAGAACTAGCTTGTTGTTGTTTGCAAAGAAATTTCTGTTCACCAAAAATTCCAACATGGTCTTCTTACACAACAAGCAATTGGTGGATTGAAGTTTTGTGGTACTTTGAGAAGTGCTCCTGGTCTTCTTTTCTTTGTAAGAAGAACACCTCCTCTCAACATTTTAATAAAATTCTGACAAAAATGCCAAAAAGCTTGCACACTAGTAGTACTACTAACAAATCAATGAATACTACTACTACTAGTACTCTACTAGTAGTACTAGTAGTAGTAGCACCACCACCAGTGGTGTTCACACTTCTATTTGTTTAGAAAGAACAACACAAGAAATAGAAACATCAGGAGCCACTAGTACTAGAGTGTTTGCTTTCATTAATTGATGTGGCCGGTGACTTCTTCTTTTTTCACCTTCTTATTTGTCTTTCAGCACGACGACTTGTAATTTCATTTTTCATTTTCTTGTCCACATGAAGAATACTAGTAGTACTACTTCCCCCCCCTCCCTGGCATTCACTTTATGTTTGCACCGCAGTAACTACAGTACTACTTTAACAGACACGTTAGCAGCCCAGTTCCATATTGGCAACTTCATTGGGTCATTCCCGTTAGTCTAGAAAGTCTAAATATTGATAGACAGACAGACCAAAAATAGACTTTCTAGTCTCAATTTTTAGACTTTCTGTAAGGCCCCCCCCCCCCGCCTTACAGATGTCTAAATCTAGTCTGGAATCCAAGAATCAAAATTCCGTTGTAAGACTCAACTGAAATGGAAAAATTTATTACTACGTTACTAAATCTTTTCTTCTTAAAGAAGAAAGCGCCGGCGCCATGGAAGAGGGAAAACATCATAAAAGACAAAAAGAACAACGATGTCCCCTGTCTTAGTGACTGCTCTCCTCTATCGTAGATCCAAACTAAGAGAGGCCCTCTTGCTGGAGGCCTTCTCTCAAGCGACAGCAAGGGGGACCAACATCCCTCACACAATATTCATTCCGCAGGTAGCAAAGAAGATGTCGGCTTCTAGTACTACGACACGTACCGGTCCTTATGCTACCATTCCTCCTTGCAATGGAGGACGCTTCCCCCCAGCAGCAGCAGGAGGAGGTCAATCAACACCAAAGAACAAGGCGACCGGCCGAAAGGGAGGTTCTGCAAATTACACTGAAGATGAGCTTATCTCATTGATGACGCTCATCAAGGAGATCCTCCCCATTGCYAAGACTGAATGGGATACAGTGGTTTACAGACATGGACAAGAATGGCCCTATGGTAGGAGCAAGGAATCCATTAAGCTCAAGTTCAATCGATTGAGGAGGCAGAAGGYACCCACTGGAAACCCWAATATTCCAGAGTCSGTCAGACTTGCAAGAGAGGCCCATCACTTGATTGGGCTCAAGGCAAATATTGRAAATGGAGAGGAGACCTTTGATCCAGTGAAAGGCTTCATCGATGATGWRGATATTGAGGACTTGGAGGACGCYTTGACTCCAAAAGCAAGCAAATCAAGCAAGAAAACAGCATCGACTTCCGACTCGACTRCMAYGRTCGGCGACGTCGGCGATGACAAACAAGAACCCATTGTCGTGACAGCAACACCAAGAAAGAGATCTTATGGAAGACTGAAGAAGGAAATTACTGAACAGGATGCTGTTCTTAAGGATTACCTCCAGCAACAGGATAAGAGGGATGCTGAAAGAGACAGGAAGGCTGATGAGAGGGAAGCTCAAARAGTGAAACGCGAAGACGCTAGAGAGCAACGTTGGCTTACCATGGCGGAAACCATTGCGACGGCGATCGCTGCTGGTAACATCAGCATCAATAATCCCAGCAAATCCCATGGTGATGTCAACTAATTCAATCTTCTTGTTACTAGCAATGATTAACGATTACGATTCGATTCAACATACAGAAGCAAACAGCGAAATAAGAGCAAAAAGCGAAATAATGAGCTCATCGTTTAGCAATTAGTTCTTTCTTACTACGCGTTGCACCGTGTTATTTGAAATTTTGCCGTGGTTTCCTGTGATCCTAGTAGCAGCATCGGTTTTCTTGCATACCCTTCATGGGAGTCCCTTCATGGGAGTCGTTGTAACCGGAATATACTGCAATGAAGACTAATATGTAACAATGCGATGTCTGAATATATAATGTAATGAAGATAATGAATGATGCAACCAATGCATGTGAGTGCCGATCAATGCATGTGTTCTGAAGTCAACCGGCATGTGTTTTGAAGGCGAACCCCGGTTCGTGGGATTGCATCACGTGTCTAATACGAGTTCCGTTGAAATCCCGGTTTTCATTGGTATACTTCTAGTCCCGGTTATCATTGTTACTATCAGCGAAATAGAGAACAACACGGTGTAATGCGTGCTAACAAGAAACTGCGCTGCTTTAGTTACTGCTCACTATTTCCTATTACTGCTAGTAAGCTGATGAATAAGAGCTGTCGTGAACTAAACAGACCTCATCGAAACTAACCAACCTCACTTCCCCACCATGGTGGACTCCTGTAAGTCCGTGTTGCGTTCTTGCGTTGAATTGGTACGTTGCTGTGTTGAATCGATACGCGTTGCGTTGCTGTGTTGAATCGATACGCGTTGCGTTGCTGTGTTGAATCGACGCGTTGAATCGACACGTTGAATCGTCGCGTTGAATCGTCGCGTTGAATTGTCGATCTTGCGTTTAATTAATCAGTCTTTAATGAATCTAACACCATCCTCTTCTTTGACCATGGGAATTATTCAAAGAATGCATTGTTTCCAACTGGGGACACCTTCCTCCCTGCATGGAAGTATCCATCAGCAAGATCCTGAAGCTTGTGCGGCTTGTCCATTGCCTCSCGGGTYGCCGGCGGTGTCTTCATGAAGACTGTCAAGATCTGATTATGCCCAATGGTACTGCATTGGAAGTTGTACAAGTTKATCATTAAGTKAATKATCACCTTCCTCTCCCCWAGGTCCTCCAACCTAAGCCTATCCTTCATCCTTGGGAACTGCCCCTGAATCATCCTCATGCCCCACTCGGACATCTGTCTAAGTGACGTGGCGTCCCTATTTAATAGGATCTGTTCATCCCCCTCGGGATCTGTTTGAGAACTTTGAATGAGGAAGGGCCTTCCTAATAAGCCAAAAGCTGAATCAACAACCACCTTTGCCCCTCCAGCACAGTCGGCGTCCAATTTCTCCATCTTCTCATAGATTCCRTACTCACTGATGGTACTGTCATGCCACGTGCCAGGGCAATTGAAAGTTCCTATGCGGATCCTACCATCCGGTGCAAAGACAAAYACTCCATTCACGTAAGTATCTGCCTTCCATCCATTGAAGAAGACTTCTTGTTTGAACCAGTCTTCTGAAGACTGAATCTGTGTCTTGAGCCCATCTGCTGCAGCCCAGACRCGTTGTTCTTCAAGTCTGGGATACTTTGCTCCAATTGCTCTAACATACTCATTGATTTCTTGCTCACTTGGCAGACTGACCATGGCGAGTGGATGTTTGTGAAGCACYGATAKGAGGATCCTCATGGAGAACTTGATCCATTTGTACATCACAGTCGATGTAAGACCAAACGCCATTGCCATTCCTCTTGCAACAGATCCTCTAGTCCTGTACCAGAAGAGCACTAGTCCAAGGCAACAAGTAGCGTCCGCTTCTCTCGGCTTTCMGATCTTCTTTCCACTCCTAGTGGGGGGAGGAAGAAGAACAATCTCATTGGTTGTCCTGTTCACTGAGTACCTGTTGAAAGCTGGACCAAACAGCTCTAGAAGATCCCTGAMGACCTTGTKGTMTACACCACAGCAGTTGAGGAGCGCTTGGTCATTCCCTGACTGGAAGAGGAAGACAAAGGAGGAGTCAGCATATCTCCTAATTGCAATCCTAGGCGTTCTTCCTCTGTCCCTCCTGCGTCTCTCCTCTGGAGTCTTTTGTTTGTCTTCCCATTCCTCTACCAAGCGTTGTCTATGCTTGATTGCCCAGTATATGCAAAGGGTCTCGATTACACCCATTGTGTTTGCTGGGAGGCAACTATTGTCTTTTGTTAAGGGAACAGCTCAAATTTGTGAGGGAGCTTGTGATTTTTAATTTTTACACGTAGTATTTTCGGTGTTAAAAATTTCGTGTTTTACTTGGTACTCAAAAAGGGCGCCCGCGCGTGTCCATCCAGTCTTAGTCATTTCTGTTGAGATTCCAGATTCCTTAAAAGTAGACGAGCGCCAAAAATTTAGTCCGTTGGGGGCCTGTTTTTAATGATTCCCGTTAAACTAAATGTCCACTTTAGACTTTTAGACATCTAGACTAACGGGAATGACTCATTAATGTACTACTTGTTCAACAGAGGGTCTTCTAGTTGCAATGCATAGCTAGTACTTACAAGTAGCAGCAGTAGCTGAGTGACTGGAGATGCGCCCAATCGTTCACAAAAAAATGATGACACGCGTAATCATTTCCTTAAGCGGCACTCAGTCCTTTTCTTCACAACAAAACACCACATGATCGTGAACTGCGAACAGTATTTTATTGTTTTCATGGAAAAGTTCATCTGTAAATGACAATCGGCACGAATCGGCAACTAGAAACACAACGCCTGGCCGATTTGCCCCCATACGACCTTTTGCGACTGGCACGGTAGTCAAAAGTCGTTGCACATATTCCTCCACCTCTCTACAATTAGTATTTTTATTGGTGTAGAACCTATATCTACGCTTCGTGCCAACGTTATTCCTGATCCTGCAAATCGCAATGAAGTTGGTATCGCCCGATCGCAATGGATCCCGACGAGGTTTTCTGAATAATGCTTTCTTCATCCTTCTGATATTGCTTGTCGCTTTAGTATCGGGACAAGATGAATATAGTCAGGCTGACTTGGAGGCTATGACAGAGGCCGAATTGGAAGACATATGTATAAAACGAGGCTTTCAATTGGTAAATGAAGATTCAGACGAGCTAACAAAACAGGATTACGTTGAGGCAGCACAAAGATGTCTTGCTATCGAGCAAGAAATGTGAGTTCAGATGGTCGCTATATGTTCAATACACTTCATCCTTTTTGCATTCTTTGGGTTATGCTGAAAACAATTTTTTCATTCAAATGTTTCTATTCCAGGAACGAGCTCTTAACACAGTACCCTGAGCTAGCAGACGAACTCGAGGAAGAAATAAAGAGGATGGAACGAGAAAACGCCGAAAAACAAGCCATCGTGGACGGATTAGAAAATCAAATATCAGACGACGCAGAAAAGGGTAGACCGGCTCCAGGTACGGCATTTCATCGAGAAGCTATCCTGGAGGATGAGGAAAATAATCATGCCGTTGGCAGTGGAGTTGGAGACGACGAGCTAGAAATTTCCGAGGAAACCCTCGTAGATGAGGTGGTAGTTGATTCTATGTCTGGAGAAGAAACCACATTACACGACACAACATTGACCGATGAAGAGAAGTCTTCTGGTTCTCAAACGGAAACCAATCTTGACGAGGCACAGGATGACGATTTCGTAGATACACAAACGGTGACAGATGCGACTCCCGATGCAGGAACGCAAATCGAAGCACCCAACAACTCAGCAGGGAAAGAAGATTTGACGATGACAAATCTGGCGATCGAGAGTTTGCGGGTCCTCGTGAAAAACGCAAAAGACGACGTTAGGCGAATCATCAATCTGGCGATTCCTGTATTGCAGCCTCTGTTGAATGCCGGAGATGTTGCCTGGCAACAAATGAAATCGTTGTTTCTAAGAGCTCGCGAGGCTTACGAGGCCTACCAAGCGACAAACACTGCACCGATCGAAGGATCGGAGGTAGCCGACACGTGCGATGACTCCATCCCTGCTTAGATTGCATCCGAATTATTATTGTTGATGTTCCCGGTCTTTAGAACAACAACTTCAGGCATTACACTTTTCTCACGGATTTGAATCGCCTTCGATTGAGTTTTCACATAGAATGATGCCGATATGGTGTACAAAATAAGAAAGAGACGTAGGGATATTTCATCAATCATATGATTGTAGAGTTTCTGACTAGCTTCTTTTGTATTGTATGTTTGTGATTTAACAAAAGTTGCTTTATATCCATATGGTTGAAAGATATCTGAATTGTGCTTTGTGTTGCAGCGACCGAAGAAAAAGAAATTTACTAGCCTCACGAACACGCCGATCGTCGCCTTCTATTTGGAAGGCGGTGGATTCCAAAGACCCTTGAGGCACCCTTTGATTCCACCCTCCGACTGAATGGAACAACGGCTGAGACCCAAGAATGTAACGGCTGTCATTCCTGCAATAGCTACACGCGATGGGCCTAACAAAGCCTTGGAAACCTTGGGGACATAGTCGGTAGCGACATAGTTCATTCCTATCCAGGAATGACCGCTAATGCTTCCAGCCAAGAGGACTCCAAACCCCTTGTCGATGAACCCGTCCGAATAACTATCCGGCATTAGAAACCATAGTGGAGTTAGAACCGCCAAGCCCATGCTAAGATTGTGATGGAGATGGGTGCCAATATTACCTGAGTCCGCAGCCAAAGGATTGTTTGGCTTGTCCGACAGAAGTCTTCGGCAAGTCGTTTTGTTGACCCTCTGGGTTAATCTGGTGGCCGTCGATCGGAGCATCTTGTTTTCGGTTTCAGTAGGAATTACTGGATGCAACAGGAAGTGGTTGCACTGGTGAAAGATCTCGTTAATAAGGAGCTATTAGTACTGTATGAAGTCCCCGGATCGTGCACAGAAACTTGTCAGCTGTATCATGTGCGATAGGTTTTTTTGATGTGTTGCTGCTTTCAGGAGAAATAGTGAGGGAACTTGTACGAAGTAGTGAAGACAGATCTGTACCGCACGTACGGTACTGAACAATAGCAATTTGGGCGAAGGACACCGTGGAAAAGCGTTCTCACCAGAACCCATTTTTAATTTTTCTCTTCGCAGTTTGACACTAAGCTTATTCGGAAAATCTACCGGCTAGGGATCTACTCGTCCTCGTACTCGACCAGTACTGGTAATGGACAGAAGAACCGCATCAACGGGTAAGAAGAACATATGGCACAGTGAGTTTAGTCAATCTGGTCAAATATAATTAGGAGTACTTACTGTAGTCACTCTGAGTCATTCCACGAATGATTTTGATGGGTTGAGGTTTTGAAACCAACCGCCTATGAGAAACCGAACATCATTCAAAACAACCCCCAACAAAATACTGCTCGTGCGTACAGTTTCTGTTACCGAAGAAGAATCTACCTGGTCCTAATAGCGGCAAACGCACTCCTTTCTGGTCAAAACATGTGATCCCCGATCCTCGATCAAAACTTGGATCGTGACAACATAGATACTTGGCGTTGAAACCAGCAATGAAGATGACAGAGCTGCTTCTAAGAAAGATTATACCAATGGTCTTTTTTTGCTTTGCACTTGGCCCTTTAAAACGCGTTGCGGGATTAGGCGTCGGAAGAAATAGCTGGAATAGTACTCCGAAACAGTATGTTTCCAAATTCACCCGTCGGCACCAATGGAACAATCGACGTAATGAGTTTCGGGACACGAGGTTATTCTTCCTCGATACCAAGTTCCAGATCAAGAATTCGGTTCGCCAAATCCGAGTAAACGCTGCATTAACAACCATTCAGAGATGTATGGCAACAGATTTACAAGATGTATCGGACCAAGAAAAAATAATAGATGAGGTGTCTATGGAAGAGATGGCTGATGGCGACAAACCGTCAGAGGAAAATTTTCTACCAAGCATTATGGATGGATTTTCTGTCGTGCGAATGTACAAGACGTGTCAGGACTCCGGATTTGATCTGGATCAAGTTGAGGCACTCGTCGGCGTCGACGACGTCGGTCGACTCGAATTAACACCAAGAAATATTTCGGTCCCGATAGCGCTCATGATGTTGGATCCGGGAGAATATCCATCGAGATCAGCCGCTCGGAAGGCATGCCGGAAAGCTAGAATATTGATACATCGGGGTCCTCTGGAGATTGATACCGAGACTGGGGAAGAACAATTCGACGCAAAAAACTGCGTGCGGGCCCGCGTCGGGGATCGGGTCTTTCCGGGAGACGTGATGTGTGTTCAGGTTCGTATTGCGGACGGAACCGTTCCCGTCGCGAGACACCAGAAACCTCCTTTCGAGCTACCGGTGGTTTTTGAAGACGACCATTTCGCCATTGGTAAGCCAGAATTATAAGCGAAAGACTTGACTTTAAGCCATGGTTGTGAATGGATCGAGTACTCGCAATCATCCCTTTATTTGTTGGCTCACATCCGTGCTACTGTTCGACTCTTTCATTTGCACTTACAAAATCCTAAAAAAACTTATCATGTTGCTTTCGTTTAGTCAACAAACCGGCCGGGATCGTGGTCTATGCGAAGAAAGGGGGCGGGGAAGGGTTCATGACGATTCGTGCCGCGATTCCGTTCGCGGTATCTCCACCAAAGGCAGGAACTTATTCTAGTCTACGCCGTCCCAAGCCAGTGCACCGACTCGACAAACCAACATCTGGCTTGCTGATTGTTGCGAAAACCATGCCCGCAATGGTGAATCTTTCGGAGCAATTCCGCGCCCGGAAAGTTAAGAAAACTTACACTGCTATTGTGAACGGAATCCCGCCGGAACGAGCCGAAAGTGTAATATCTACCAAGGAGGCTTACACAATGGGGTTCGATGTCGACCCAGATTCATGCAGTAACGACAAATGGCAGGTGATAGATCACGTGCTGGACGAGAAGAGTGCAGTTACAGGCTGGAGAGCACTAAAATATTCCAACAGCATCCTGGCTAACGAAAACGTACTAACAACTGTTGAATTGAAGCCAAAAACCGGTAGGTATCATCAACTGAGACGACATATGTCATGGGTATGCGAATGCCCCATCATAKGTGACAAAGAGTACGACGGAGGCGGGGATGCCCAGGGGCTACGAGGAGAAGGTCTTTTTCTGTGCTCGAACAAAGTTACGCTGGAGCATCCATTCTACAACTCCTTAGAGGAAGAAGGTGAGAAGCTTCTACAACAACTGTCAGAGAAAGAGAAAGAAAGCTTGTGGTTATCTCCTGAAGGGAAAGTGATGGTGACCGCATCTATCGAGCTTCCCGATAAATTCCAGTCATTTATTTCTAGCCAAAACGCAGATTTCAAAAAGAAGTTGGAACAAGAAAACTAAATCATTCGGATTAATATTTAAAATGTTAAAGTTTTCGGTAGGACTTGGCTAGTAACTTGGAAATGTTTCGTCGATCTTCGTTCTCCAATACGCTAGACCGCCAGTAATGTTCTTGATAGAACAAATTTTGGGATATTTCTTGACGTTTTCAACTATTATGTTGGTTGCAGATACGGAAGCAATCCCCCGGCGGCAAATGCAATATATTGGCTTGACTCCGCCAGCAAGATCCGACAACTTCTCCATTTCTTGTGGTATGGATCGAAGAGGGATGTTTATCGCACCGGGCAAGGAACACAGCTCAAATTGTTCCTCAACGCGGACATCCACTAGTACATGATCATCCCCTCTGTCTCGTATGCGGCTATATTCTTCGCACGAAAGAGACAAAGCGTCTGGAAGATCTGGGCGAGTTTTAGTCACGGAGCAAGAGCTCGGCCCTCGTGCCATTTCGGAAGCTGCAAAACTCTCCTCCATCGACGTGATTGTTGGCTCTGTTCCACACGAGGGACATAGTGGTTGTTTTGGTGGTTTTTTGATTCGCATAAAGGAGCACTGTAAAGAGTCATACATTAGGAGCCGCTCAGACATTACGGCGCTTGAAAAAAAGTGAGGACATGACAAAGTGAGTAAATGGAACATGATGAAATTCGTATGCACAGAGAGAGTAGTTTTGAATACTTACTTTGTTTCAGTAATAATTTTGATGACTTCGAGGGCTTGGAGAATCCCAATGAGACCCGGGACCGGACCAAGAACACCGTTATCTGCACAACTTTTGGAACCTTCCTTCAAATTTGGTGTCGGATACAGACAACGATAGCAAGGCCCTCCCTTGTAATTGTAAACTGTAAGCTGCCCTTCTGTACCCATGGCACTGCCCGATACCAAAGGTGTTCCACTAATAACGCACGCATCGTTGATAATGTAGCGTGTTTGTGGGTTGTCGGTTGCGTCCACAACACAGTCGCTGGAAGATATCAACCCAAGCGCGTTGTCGATAGTCAGGGGCTTGTCAACCACGGTGAAGAATACAGACGGATTCAGGCTCTCGACCGCTCGGCGAGCCGATTCTGCCTTGTTCAATCCGACATCCTTTGACTTGTGAATGATCTGTCGATGAAGATTGGATAAATCTACCTCATCAAAGTCCACAACGGATATATTTCCAATTCCGGATGCTGACAGATACAATATAACTACGACAAATGATAGAAAAATAAACCAGAACATGTGCAACAACTTTCAGTTTACGCCTCGGAAGTCATGATGCGAATACGACAAGCGACTTCTTCCCGTTCTTTACCTGTCGATCCAATCCCTCCAGCGCCTACTACCAAAACTTTCGACTTGAGCAATTTGAGTTGCCCTTCCACACCGAATCCACCTGTCAACAACAGCTGTCGTGAATAGCGTTTGATTTCATCTGGCTTTAGTCTTCCTTGGTAGACACCCTCCTCAGAAGCACCAGCAATCCCTTCAATTTCCATTGATACAGTCTCTTTCTCTTCGAGGCGTTTATCATCACGGGAAAGGCGACTTTCACGATCGAGCCGAAGGCGCGCATTTTCCTCCTCGAGAAGCTTGATGCGTTCTCGCAGTTCTTCAATTTCTTCCATTAAATTTTCCAATGAATTTTTAGAAATCTTGGATGTGATGTTCGGCTCTGGTTTTATGTGGGTTGATGGTATTTCGACGGCAGAAACTACAACAACAATTGCTATTTTGACGTTAATGCACCGGGAAAATGAAAACAGAACCGGAAAAGATGAGTGATGGGTCAGTTTTTGGTTTTTGAAAAGGGTTGAAATTTGATCATGATCCAATCTTCTTGGTTCCCCACTATTTCCCCCCAACACTATGACTGAAGTGTCTGTCCCTCGAACAACTCAGAATTTGTTTTTATTTTGGACCACCAATCAAACAATCTGCTGCCTACGCGTGATTCGACCTTCCATCGGTGTTTGTATTTAGAGAGTCCGTCAACCATGATTTTCTTCCTGATGACAAGCAGGTGGTTCCGCAGAGAACATGTTCGTACAGATTCCTCACGTTTAGCTTGTGTAATGATCATTATGTTTTCCAGATGAAAAAGGCACCTGTCATTCGGGTTTATACGCTACGTACAAACGTTTTGACAGTACTAAGAAATAAAGCCGAGTCGTAGATAACTCACGACATCCCGACATTTAGGGTTCGCACGGAACTGCTGTACGTACCGATACATACAAAGTTCCGCACGAGGTTCGACTTCCTTGGCACCTCTGTTCTGCTAGTGAAAAGGGGAAGACAATTTTTATGGAGCTGAACAGGTCGCAAATAAAAAAGGTGCCCGCCAGTGTCAAAATCACCGCCGGATCCTCTTTAGTTGTTGCGAGAACGTAGCCGATACATCTTTGTTGAAGAACTTGTATTTTACTGACTTGTTGAAGCATCATTATTTCTCACTCTCGACACCTGCGACGAGACGATTAATGATGAACAGCTTTTTATACGATGTAATGACGGATTAAACTCTAGTAGTCTTTGTCTTTAGAAGTATAAAACAACCGAAACAGGTAAACCAGAAACCAAACGACCAAGTCACAGATTTAGAAACAACCAATCCAAAAGCAATAACATTCAAAACAATCAACAGCGCAATCACAGCACAACGAGGGAACGCCAACAATAAGTTATCACACAACAACGAGAGAGCGACTTTTTTGAAAACGATCCGTAGTGTTTCGGGAAAGAGAAGAGGAGCGATTCGACTAGACAGAGAACACAGCAGCACTGATTTTATTTCCATTTTCATTACTAACGGCAATACAACAACAAAAGGTGTCTGCGGAGCAGCAGGAGTGTGTTAGACCCACGCAAGATGCAGGGTTCTTCTTGGGAAGTAGATCCACGGAACGCTCAATACGATCAGACTGTAGACGCATATACTGAATTCGAGAGATCGACTTCTGCTCCACCCCCCGAGACGGGTCTCCTCTTTCGATCGGAAAGCAGGGGAACCAGAACCGATGGGTTGGATGTAAGTTGCAACAAATAATTCTTTAGTCTTGTTCATTCCCTTGTGTTTTCCATGCAACAACCAGTCGAATCTCATTCATATGACTTGCACCGTATTCTTTTCCGTTTTCAATATTGTCCTGTAGTCCGTCTTGGGTACTTCTATTCTTCCCAGTGCACGAGAATTATATTCCAACAGCACCGAAATACCTCACCAACAAAATCATCACCGTTACCAACATGAGCATCAACATCTACATCAAAATCAACAGTCGGTAACACCAGGATATGCAAGGAACCATGCTCTTTCGTCTTCTTCCGTATCAAACACTCAATTGGTGAATATAGGAGGGCAAATTTCAAGATCACAGAACCGACAACAAAGTATAGGAGAACAGTTGGTCCGTCCACACTCTGCTACAGCAAGTTTTGATAGTCGAATGTCCGTAGGTCTTCCTCCAGGGTTTACAAATAGACAAGAAACACCCACTCATTCGAACCAGTCCAATCCTCCCGCTACTACTATTGGCAATGAATTATATTTCGATGACCTCTATGTGGATCGGTCACAGATATTACAACTTGGGCAACAAAGACCGGCATCGACCGGTGTTATTGGCGACAATCAAAGATCTTCTTCAGATGTTCTCAATTCACTTGGATTAGGTCAGCCAACAAGGGTAAAACCAGTTCGTCCAGCTGCGAAGACATTGATGGATTTGATTCGAGAAGATTCTCCGAAGGTGCCCCAGGCAATAGATTCTGATACTTTATACGCAAATTCAACTCCAGTTTTTCAAAGTGACCATATGTCACACATGCTGGAACGACCGAGGACCACGTCTCCCCTATCGTCACAATACACACGAGAAGATCCCGATTATTACAATGATCGCGTTGGTAGAAACCGTGGTGGTTACCAAAGATCGATGGATTATCCGACGTATGCAACTGCTAATGATAATCTATCAGATCCAATGAGCCGACTAAACTTGGGCTACGGTGGTGATTCCTCCTATCGGTCGAACACTAACACAGTGAGTATGCTACTTCGGGTAGAGACTTGCAACGCGTCAATAATGTCGTTGTCTATCATATCGATGTATTAATTTTTTTCTGTTTTTTTTTGGTAACTGGCACCGCAGGCAAGGCCCATTCCGCAATATCCGTCTGATCCTATTGATAGGATGCAGGGAGAAGACAATGTCCAAAGCTCTGTCTATGCACCAGTAGCGTATCATCCTCGACCAACTAGACCACAACCCCTCAATCCTGGACAACACCCACCAGAAGGCCGATACGGTAGCCCTTCTCAATCGCAGCCAATGCCAGCACACGTCCAACCCCAAGTTCTTCCTTCTGGTCACACTATATACCTTAACGCTGCATCTCCACCTCCTGCCCAGTATAGCTATGCGACAATACAATATCATCAGCATCCACATCCGCAACGGCATCATATTGTACATCAAGCTGTACCCAGTAGCGTCCCTCCGCCACCACCTAATCAGCAATACATATCGGTTGTTCCTGTGCAAGGGGGTGGACCGCCTGGACATGTACAAAATGTTGATTCGAGGGGATCATATACATACTGGCAACCTCCTGGTGGGCATCAAGATGGTACTCAAACGGTGGCCATCATGAGGCCCGGTGTAGTACGGATGAAAGCCCCAGAAACACAACATCAACACCAACACAAACACAAACAACGCCAAGGCATAACGTCATCGCAAGGAGGCCGTGGAAAAGATAAAAGTGGAAAAGGTCGACGAAATAGTGGTAGTCGAAATAGTGGAGTATCAAATGGTAGTGGTGGAGAGACCAAGCCCTCAGCAACGTCGCACCACAGTAACTCGAATCAGACATTGTTGGAAGATTTCAAATCTAAGAAGAATAATCGTGATTGGACAGTTAGTGATGTGAAGGGGCATGTCGTTGAGTTTTGTCAGGACCAAAACGGTTCTCGATTCATTCAACAAAGGTTAGAAATTGGAGATGCAAGTGAAAAAGATATTGTTGTGACCGAGGTCCTACCAGAGGTGATTCGACTGCGGAATGATGTATTCGGAAATTATGTAGTCCAGAAACTTTTGAGCTTTGGAACCAACAGAATGAAGGAAGACTTATGCGACACTATGATTGGAGAAATGGTACAACTTTCGATGCAAATGTACGGGTAAGTTATCTCACTAATCGACTGCTCATCTCATTCAATGTATATCTCTCTATGTGTACGGAAACTAAGAAACGAACCACGTTTTTGTTTGTTATAGATGTCGAGTGGTTCAAAAGGCCTTTGAGAGTGTTGATGAATCCGATTTGCCCAAATTGCTTTCAGAATTCCAGAACAACGTACTTAGCCTCATACATGATCAAAATGGAAACCATGTTATTCAAAAATGCATTGAAGTGTTGAGTCGCAATGCGAAAGCGGCTCAAGAAGAGGGCGAAGAGACGAAAGCAACGTTTTTTGGCGAACAAATTGATTTCATTGTTGACGACGTATTAGACAACCTTGCGACGCTCGCTTGTCATCCTTACGGGTGCAGAGTGCTACAACGAATACTTGAGCACTGCATCGAAAGGCAAAAAAGCGCAACGTTAGAGAATATAAGCAAATGTCTTCGAGTTCTTTTCGATGACCAATACGGAAATTACGTCATTCAACATGTTCTTCAGTTCGGTCGCGTCCAGGATCGAGATATGGTACTAGAAATGGTTGTGGGTAACGGTTTGTTGAAATTGTCACGACAGAAATTTGCGAGTAATGTAATCGAAAAATTACTGAAGTACGGAAACGAAGACCAGCGCAAATCAATTGTGCGCGAGATGCTGAAGAGGGTAGACGAAAAAACAGACACCGTCGTAGAGGAGGGCGAAGAAGGCACCAGTATTGTGTTGTTGATGGTTCGAGATCCATACGCAAATTATGTTGTACAAACTACGTTGGATGTCGTTCCCGAATCGAAAGAAAAGGAACAGCTGCTCAAAGAGCTTAATGCCCATTCATTAGAATTGGTAAGTACCGTTTTTCGTCACTGCGGCTTTTACACGCACTGTGTTTGGCTCATTCGAGAATCCACCTAATAATATTGATTTGATGATTGACTTCATCTGAATATCCCACTTGACAGAAAAATTACACATTTGCCAAACACATCATAACCAAGCTTGATAGCTGAGAAAGGAGAAGGCAAATGCAGCAAATGCAGCAAATGACCACAATATACTATGCAAGCTAAATTGCTGCCAAAACTAAATTAGTCGAACTATAGAGTTCTAATGTTTTGAAAAGATGATCACAATTTGTTCTAAATTTTTCTCTTCACACACGCTTAGTATTTCCTACTGTAGGAAGATCTTTACAGCATGTTTATCTTCAAAATAGTTTAGAATGCCAATTGCATTCATGGTGGCTACTGTGTTGCTTCCGTGCACGGCAAAAACATCATTAGTTTGTTTTCGTCTTCTTCTTCTTCTTCTTCTTACTTTTAGTAGCTTGGTTGCGTTGCTCTTTCTCTTCCTCGGCAATTAGGTCCTTTTCAATTGCGGCACTATCGATGGTCTTCGGAGTCCCCATCAACATTCGTTTCGGAAGCAGAAGAAGATTGAATGAAGGACCATAGAACTCAGGCAACATCATCATTCCTGATACCTGCATGAACGCAGTGACAACAATGGTAGCGAACATTTTATCGGTCATCGTTCCCTGAATCCCGGTTGACTGCACAAATGATCTCAGAGCAACGCCCACCGATCCCACCTTGTCATGGGTGTAAAGGTGATAAAAAAGTCCAACGACCAAACCTACGCGACGAAACGAAACAGATGAGACATATTCTTGGATGAATGCCGCGAAAAGGAAAGGCAGAGAAGGAAGCGAACGTGCTCGACACTTCTAGAATTTCTCTCACTCACCGTTTTGAAATGCCCATGGAATATCCTTCTCAAGGTGTTTATGAAATCCTTTCAGAAAGAATGCACCCATGTTACCAAGAAGAGTGCCGTAGACGACCGGGCCCAAAATAGGGGTGGGGTAATATTTCGACGGGGCAACTTCCGCGGCGCATGCATTGATAAAGCCAATCATGCCAAGCCCACGGAATAACTGAGCCCAAGAGTTGAGCAATATTTTCACGGGAAGCAAGGTTCCAAATCTGTAACCAATGTCCATGGGCGAGTAGGTCAACAGCACAAAGGCGATCGCGGTTAGCGTCAGGGTGACATCCCCGTTGGTGATCAGAGATGTCGGCTTGCCCATCCACACGAAACCAAACCAACCCCCACCGAAGGCAGCAATGGTCGTCAGCGCGAAAGCGTGGAACCAATTCAAGTCCTTGTTCTTGTTCACCCCACTCCGGACGGCCAAGGCTCCCATGAACGCTTGGCCAAATGTTCGAAGCTCTGCATGGTATGGTGAGGCTCCCGATAGGAAGTCAATGATCAAATCCATTATAACTACGGTGGTTCGTTCTCTGGAACTACTAATATTGCGGGAAAACAGTGACCCGCCGTTTCAGCCGGAAAAGACCTGTCGCTCCGCCTAAGCACTGGCGTCGTCCTAAAGGAAAACCTCAACATCGACAAAATCTACTTTTACCGGCAACTGATCAATTGGTTGATACTAGTACTCTACGAACGTACGTACTACCTTACGTAATACGACGATGTCCGATGTCCGATGTGCGGCTGGCGGCTGTGGTTTTTTTTCCGCCCCGTGTCAGAATATTTCAGTCACGTCAATTTTGAGTCCTGAACAAAAGAACCAAAAACGCTATTCACAGATCATAGATACGAACTAAGACTACGTACCATACGTCCCCTACGTCAGGGGTTATCCTAAATTTATGACCCCTTCCGTACCGTTTCGTACGTAACCTAACCTATTACCGCTGTGTGAGTTTCCCGAGATTTTTTCAAATTTATAAACATCTTCGTTCACGAATATTTTGTATCATCAGAATTCAAATTGCTCGGATTTTTTCTTTCCCGATCAACATGGAACGTCTCCGGATGCGGATGTACCGCACCGCGACAACACCTGCGGAAACGACAGAAAAAAGTGTTCGAAATTGCCTTCAAAATGGGAATTTGCCACAGCAGTTTGGAGGCGGAGACAGGAAATGGCGACACCTGCGTCGAAACAATTGCAGGTGCTGATTTCCTGGCAAAAAAGAACTACCATCGGCGCCGTCAATCGACGAAATCGACGCCAGGAGGGAAGAAAAATTTGGCATACGATCTTGCGCTGGTCTCTCCGTCAGAAAAGACGGCCGCAACAGATGCATTGTCTCCCACTTCCATCACCTCCCCTATTTCTACAGAGGGCGGCGACTGTCAATCAGGCGGTGAGATTGAAAATGAATATCATTTGCAAGACATCATCGAGAAAAAGTTCGTTCCCGAGCCTCCTTCTTCAATAGACTCATTTGGAAAAGAAGATACGGACGCAAATGACAATTTAATGAACAAATTCGGTCAGCAATCTATTCTACAAAGCGCAGATCACATAAACGAGAATGAGTCGATCCAATCCATGATTCAAAAGTTTATTTCTGAAACTATTGATGCTGATTCTGATCTTTTAAATACTCTACACATGTCGAAACCCGATCCACCACCGCTATTGGCTCCTCCAAAAGACGTGAATGTTGTAGTAATATCTTCCAATACCGACACATCAATCAATCCTGTAACTGTTGCAAATTTCAATAAAATGAAATTGGAGGTAAAACATGCCCAAAACTTGGAAAAACGAAGACGATACGAGGAAAAGATAGAGGACCGACGCCGAGATATTCAAGGCTACGAGGAACTCTGGGGAGAATACAGCGAAATTAAGGAGAGAGTGATCCAGCAACGTAAGATAGAGGCAGAGTCTCCTTCGCCAAAAAAAACAGGAGAATCAATTTCTCTAAATGATTCGACTACATGGTTTGTTGACTTCTCCACGCTAAAATCAACAAATCATTTCTATGACACGTTAGTAGTCAATGAACATAATAGCGAGCATGAAAATAGACAGCCAAGCAGCACTAGTTCTCCGTTGATAGAATCTTCATTGCAATCTCAAAGAAAAATCCTCCAATCTACAACAATGCAGCGGCAAAAAATTCTCGATGAGCATTCAATTCACAAGGACTACGCTGTTCAACCAAACAAACTGGAGAAGCAACAGCCAGTGAATAATGATTGCATTGAAAGCATCAACGGTGGCAAGTCTATCACAGTTGATTTGGACGGAAGCATCATATCTGATTTGGACAATGGAAGCAATTCTAGCATGACATCGGACACTGAAAGGGGATTTCACAATGATGATTATGGAGTTCTCCGTCGATATAGTCGAAAGTCAATCGAATCAACAGTTCCCACCCATATGGACAATTTCTTTGCTCAAGTGGACGACGCGGATCTACTGGATACGAGGGCTTTCTTTTCGGCGCAAACTCCTCGAAAAGGAAATAGTACAAGCGTGTGCATACCTTTCTCGAAATACCTTGAAGAAAATTGTTTGCCTTCTGTAAGCATAGAGAACGCGGAACTTGGAACAATACGATGGCGAAAATTTCCGAGCAATTGTGACAAGGTGAAAGTGAGTCGAAAAATCGATTTTTCTCACGACAACCTTGAAGCAATGAGGGAAAGAACTGGAGTGCAATTAAACAATAGTGAAGTTGATAACGATGCCAAGGTTCATGACAGTGACGAGAATTGTAAAGCAACACCGGAGGCATTCACTCCTATCCTCTTGAATACAATAACGGACCCCGAACCTCGGGCTAGATTTATTGAATCGAACCACGATATTCACGAAGGGACTGACAAGGAAGGAACAAATCTTCGCCTAGTTCGAAAAGTTGGTCCGCAATTGAATGATCTACTTACTCGACTAAAAGACAATGGGCTTGGTGAATAAGCGAAATATATTTCTGTAATGTTGATTCCCGTCATGATGACTATGTATAAACTTCTTGATTTTTCATCACTATTTCTGCTTTTTTAGTACAGCAACACATGCCCCTGCGTAAATCTCAGGTACCAATGCCATAATTCTGGCAGCTTCTTCAGTGACTTCTCCGTCATCTTCGTTGTAGAGTCGACAATTATCGAACATGAGTAGATAATCCGAATAAAGTTTGGAGGCAGCTGCTGAACCTTCTCCATAAACACCTGTTTCTAGCTTGGAATTCATCGTCGAGAGATCTATGGGATTTTTCACGATATCAGAATAATCAGGAGCATCCTCATCAGATACCGGCTCAGCAAATACAGCGTAACGGTCAATTTTTTCAAGTTTTTTAAACATCGCCGATGCAACGTCGCGGAACTTGGTAGGAAGCAGAGGTGCAGGTAAACTCCACGGACCTCTTTTGGTAAAAAACTTTCTTGATACGTCAAATGGTAAATCGCTACCAATTTTCTCTCTCTCTTTCTTCAAAAATGCAACATCAAAAGAGTCTGCATCGCTAGAGTTAGTGGCTTTTGATTTTCCACTTCTCTTTCTTATTATCTTTTTTGGTGCAACATCCAAGTTCGTTTCAGCATTATTCCACATAGCAGACTTGCGGCCCCTCTTTTGTCGAGAAACGGGTGCTTTCTTTCGCTTGGATTTTTCGTCGCTTGAAATTACATTCATTTCCTCGTCGTCATCGGGAACAGGATTCCTCAAGTTGATCTTGATTCTTGGTTTCTTTTTCTTCATTGATGTCAACGGCACATCATCTTCCTCGACACCAAGGTCAATCGTGTCTTCATCGTTTACCTTCTTCTTTGCTTTCTTCTTCTCCTTTTCAGCGGCAGCGGCTTCGGCGTCTCTCCTCATTTCTTCCTTTGTTCTCCTCTTACGCTTCTTTACCGGGGTAGCTGCGTTTTTCTCATCCACGATCTGAAGGACTGTGCCATCTTCTGCCAAAAACAGATCATTCGCCATTGCAGCAGCCCTGAGCTGGCCCGGTCTCAGAAGCGCTTGCTGACGAGCTTCTTGGCAAATTTCTGATTCGTACGCATTAAATTGAAGGCAATTTTGCATGACGAGGCGGAAGTCTTTCTGCATTGACTGCGCTGATCGGTATTCATCATTCTCTAGCTTCTTCTTCATCGTACCATAGTCCATTGGATTCTTCACCTGTTCATAGTATTCAGGAAACTCCTCACGTGGAACAGGGACCGAAAATATACCACCTTTTTCTTCGTCGTGTTTCAACACCGCGTCCAATAAAGTTTTTAGAACCTTTGAGACCTCTGTTCGAGGCAACGCTGGCCATGGCCGTCCAGCTGCGACGGCGGCATCGCCCTCCGCTGCCCACTGACGCCTGCGATTTGCTTCTTTCCTAGAAATAGTCAGTTTCTTCTTACCCTTTCCACCGTATACACTGTCGTCTACGTCAGACCATTCTGCTTCATCGTCAGAGTGTACCTTGTACCCATCATCGCCTATTGCAGAGGATTTCCTACGTTTTCTTTCATTGTCGTCATCGCCACCACCCTTCCTTCGGCGTCTCTTAACTTTTTTACTGCTGACGATTCTCAGTTCTTCCCTAATTTGAACACTGTCATCGTCAAAAATTTGTTTACGAGGTGTTGATCTTCCTCCTGGATCACCTGTTCTGCAACGCCGACGTCTGTCACCCTCGAGACGTTTCAATGTTATCAGTGCGTAATGCCGCTGATCCTCATTGAACAATTTCTCCTTCATGGACACAGTAAGCAATAATTTCTGTGCGGCGGCTTTCTCTTCGCCAGCAAGATTATCATCTTCTGCTTCATCGAAAAGTCCTTCCATCATACTCTTTAGATCTGACATGAACTTTGCAACCTTTCTCTTTTGAGTCTTCGTTAGCTGGAAGTTCTTTTTCACCCCGTCTTCATCATTATTTTCAACTCCGCTGCCCTCATCATTAACGGGGACTTCGTCGGCTTTTGAAATATCAGCAACCGCATCATCTTCCTTCACTGGATCTTCACTTTCAGGATTGGAACTCTGCATGTCCTCGTCGCGCTTTTTCTTAGCTTCCTCTTCCTTTTTGGCCTTTTCTTCTTCTTCATACTTCTTTTTCCATCTGCCGCGTCCTCTTCCCACTTTCTTAACAGTTCCCAAAATTTCATGAGACAAATCCTGTAGTTGCTGAGTCATAAGCATAGGTGTGACAAAATCTGGCATGACTTTTTGCCAAAAAAGAGGATCATCCATATCTAGTCCGGCGGACTTTGAGTCGCTGGTAAATTTCGACTTGCTGACAACCATGCCTTGTTTGTTCAGCCAAGAAGCAGTTTTCGCTCCCTCCACGACGCGCGTGCGGGTCCTCGTTGCTAAAATACTGTCAATATCGTCTGCACAGAACTGTTTGACTTTCTCATCGTCATCCTCCAGCAAGGCATAGGCACCTCTTTTCAGAAGTTCCTCCATTTCTTTGCTGTTTGGTTTGTCATCATCTTCGTCCTGTCCAAAAGAACCCAACACTGCTTGCTCCAAACCCAACTTTTTGCTCGCCCTGTCAAACATTTCTTGTTCGAAAGTCCGGCTTGTCACGAGACGGTAAATTCGAACGTCCTTTGTCTGTCCAATTCGATGGCAACGAGCCTGCGCCTGTACATCGTTTTGTCTGTGCCCAGAGCAAAGAACAAAGGGGGATAGTATGTTAGACGGTCGCCTTGATTCATTACGTCCTAACAATTTATTCCTCAACAAGAATAAACACTTACGGGTTCCAGTCGCTATCGAAAATAATACAGATGTCGGCCGCTGTCAAGTTAATTCCAACTCCACCGGCACGTGTTGATAAAAGAAAAAGAAACGCACTGGGGTCCTTATTAAACCTGTCGATAGACTTCTGACGGTCTGTGCCTCGGACACGACCATCCAAGCGTTCGTAAGGAAATTCCCTGAATTCACAGTACTCAGAAATCAGATCCAACATCTTCACCATTTGGCTGAAGACAAGTATTTTGTGCCCCTCCTGTCGCAGTTTTGGTAAAAGCTTATCCATAAGCACCATTTTCCCACTGGTCTGTACTTGTAGATTCTCATTCATCATGTATTGTTGTTCGTCAGGTGATTTTCCTTCGAATTTCCCAGCTTCCAAAAATTCCTTGAATAAACGATCTTGCTCTCGATGCTCCACGCCTTCTAGAAGACAAGGATGGTTGCATACCTTTCGAAGCTCCATCTGGATATTCATCAACTTTGGCGCAGTCACACGCGTGGCACCCATATTTAAGAAGGCATGATTGTGTTCAAAAATAGCACGGTAATATTGCTTCTGAATAGAAGTCAATTCGACGTCAATGACTGTTTCCTCCTTCGCTGGAATGTCTTTGGCTACATCCTCTTTGACTCGTCGCAACATAAAGGGCGAGATTTGTTGTTGCAAGTTTTCAACCTGTTCCTTGCTTTTCATGTTTCCAAAATGTTGCATGAAGTTATCGATGTCGGGGAATTTGAATGGTTCAATAAAGTTCAGCAGTGTCCAGAGCTCGGTCAAATCATTTTGCAGGGGTGTTCCAGACATGAGTACGCGGCTTTGATACCCATGCTGCAATGTTCCTTTCGCACTGATCTCTTTCATGCACTCGAGTAGTTTCCCTTTTTGGTTTCGGAGACGATGCGCCTCATCAACAACAGCAACTCGAAAAGGAATCTGACCTATGACATCAAAATCACCAATTAACGTGTCGTATGTCGTAACCAGAACGTGAAATTTCAGGAATTCAGCATTCCGCGGCTTGTCTTCGTAGTACCATTCATATTCTCGGAGGACGTCACGCCATTGCCGTTGCCTATCGTGATAAACGCAGCAAACCATATCTGTCCAGCCTTCAAACTCGCGTCTCCAGTGTTCAACTGTTGAGAGTGGTACTACCACCAAGAAAGGCCCACGAATCTTTTCAACTCGGAACAAGTGCTCGAGATAAGTTACGATTTGGACAGTCTTTTTTTACAAAATGAGACCAGAGGACAAGTTTGCGTGAGATATACAGCAAGAAATTTGAACAATACATTCAAAAATACTTACTTTTCCCAGACCCATCTCGTCTGCTAGAATGCAGCCAGTCTTTCTATAGAACGTGCTTGATAACCAATTTACTCCCTCCACTTGATAATCGCGAAGCCTGTTGTTGTTTTTGTAGTTGTGGGGCTCGCTTGGATCGTAGAGTCGATCCCGGAATTCATTCCAGGCTTCCTTTCTTTTCTTGCTCCCTTTCCTAGTGGTTTCACCGGCGGTGACCACAGCTCCCGCAGCAGCGTACTGCCAGCGATACCCTCCTACTTCGTCGCTGAAATCTTCGCCAAGATCTCCTCTCAACACACGTTTGATTTCGTTTAGGGGAAGCTGAAGCGTTGCGGCAGCACTTTCTACATTTGCCCAAATGTTGAGAACCTCGGATGTGTCCGGCGATATCTGCTCGAGTTTGACAGCCGATCGTTTCAACAATTTCTCGGGACTGCCTGGTGCAATTGCTTCGTCTTCCGCTTTTTTTGCCTCGGCTTCTTTAGCGGCTTCCTTTGCTTTGATAGATTTCTTGGACGGGAACGGGAAATTCTCGTCGCAGTCTTCTGGATCGGGAGCAGAGGAACTTACTGCAACCGACACCAGCAATTTTCGTCTGTCTCCGAGAGAAGAAAAGTCGTTGCGGCGGACGGGTACCAAACTTTCTTCGACAGCATCTTCGTTATCTTCGCCATCTTCATCTGGGTTTTCTTCCTTTTCGGGTGTAACTATATTCAGATACTTTCTGACTTCTTTTTCAGAGGTGAACGTATTGTCCAAGCCATCTATGTAGAACGCACCATCTTCGTCTCCAGCCTCGTCGCTGCTGTATCCTACATCGATATTCAACATACGATAGGCCAATGAATGGGTGTTTTCGGAGTGAATTCTGACTAAAGATTCAGCAGTTTTGACAGGTGGAAGGCCTGATGGACTCATGAGCTCCATCTTGCTTTCTTCGGCAGATGCATCGGCGTTAATTGGTGAATTGGGCACAACATCTGGTTGTTCCGTTGTTCCATTTCCATTAGGCGGAGCCTTCTCCTTTTCCTCCGTCTGGACCATGACCTTCGTTTCCGATTTCTCAGGTGTAGCCGGAGGAGCATCACTCTTCCCCGTTTTGAAGTCTTCGTCGGTTTCCAATTTTTTCATTTCCTTCGATAGATCTGTGGTCCGATTGAGAACTTCGTCCTGATCCGCTTCTTCGTCGCTCTCTGGCTGAAATTCACCTTCGCTATCCTCGTCTTCTTCGCCGTCGATTGCTTCCTTTTCCCCTTCCTCTTTTGACTCGTTCTCGGCATGAATATACCGCTGCACCAACAAACGCTTACGATCGGTGCTGAATTTGTTGCTTAGTGTCTCGATTGTAAAACGACCGCGTTTTCCGTAACTCGTCAGATCATTATCAATATTGGCGTACTGGCTTTCCAAAAAACGCATGACCGAGTATTTGTTCTTCCCCGCCACTCGAAGCATTCCAATAACGTCCTTGAAGGTTTTATTTACCGTGCTCACGCCGTCAACTGCAATTATCTTGTCGCCGGTACCCCTGATGAGGTTATTAAGCTCGGCAGGGCCCTTACTACCATCAGGAAACTGTCTGTATCCAAGAAACGCCACAGATCCGTGGATTTCGCCGACATTCATCATAAGCCCCTTCGCAGTAATTGGGACAACAACATCGTACTCTCCAGTAAGGCACGGTGGTAGAGAGGGATCCAGTTTCATCACCATTGGGAGTGTTCCCTTGAGCGCGACTCGTTCTACCAATTCGTTCAGACACAATTGAATTTCTTTCGAGTGATACGGAGTTTTTTTATCGACCAGAGACAATTGATGCGATGCCTTCAATACTGGTCCACACTCTGCAGCAACATTTTTTGGAACATCTAGACCAAACTTCACAAACTGAAACGCCCTTGTTTGGGAATAAAGCCTTGTGCGAAGATCAGGTATACAGGTGCTGCCTCCAGCATTCTTCGGGTTGATGTGTTCAGTTTCTTCCAATACCTTCGATACGGCATTTTCGGTAATAAATGGTTCTTCTGAGACAATGTCGTTGAGCTTACGGAATTCGGCAATAAGCTCGGGATTGCCGATGTCTTCCTTCGTTTCCCATGTACAGAACTCGTACCCAAGACCAGCCCATTTCACTAGGTACATGGTTTTCTTGACTTTGCGTGTAGGGATCTCACCGAGCTCGGCCCTTTTGCGGACGGCTTGCTCGGAAACAGCGGACATCATCTGTACACCCCGCACCGATCTCAGCTTCTTCGCGCAATCCGGGCAGTGCCACACCCCGCTCGGAAGCTTTTCTAGCGGTGGCTTCAGGCATTTGTATCCGTACGCGGCATCGCAGTGGTCGCACAACACGAGGTCTTCGTCCTTGGTGTTGCATTTTCCATCGTGTTGCCGACATGTGTGTTCCCACGGACGAGCCCTGGGGTTGGCCCATCTCAAATATCGTTCACGGAATTGTTGCACCCAGGCATGGTAGAGCCGCTCAAATTGTTTCGACATGTAATCGGCAACGTGCCAGATAGCAGAACCGTGACGATTATAGATCTTGCAGTTGTTCCAGATCTTTCGCATGTCTCGGGCAAATTGTTCCGGCATCTGATACTTTCTAGTTTCTAGCTTTCTCCGTACGGTTTGGAGATCCATGGGGAAGTCTATAACATCCTCGTAGTCGGGAAAATCGTCTAAATTCACCGGCTCAAGAAAAATGTTTGCAAAGCCATCCTGCGACAGCCTCTCCAAAACCATTTTGCATCTACGAATAGGTTGCCACATTTCGTTTGGTCGTTGAGCTCGTTCCAGCAGTGCGCGCTCTTTTTCGTATTGCTTGTATTCTTCCTTCGCCAACTCAAGAAAGGGTCCCTGTCCCTTTTCCTCCGACATGGACGCCCATTGTTCTCCTAGAATCGTCATGAGTTCCGAATTCGTTGCATTTGGATTTCGCATCGAAAAATATGCGCGCATAGTACACTGAAAGAAGAGATAGGAAGCCCTGGGCTTTTTCGGAGGTTCCGTTATGTATCCATCTCGGTAGGGATTGTCGCATCCTTCTATCTTGGGATAGTATGCTTCGTCAAGGTCGACGATCTTTTTCAATTTTTCAAGAGTGAGCTGACTGAAATCGATATCTTCCTTCCTCCAGTCATCCAATGCGTCGTCTTGAAAGAACGAAGAGGTTGACAATATAGGATGTTAGTAGACGGAAGCGATCCAACAGTAGACGCAAGAAAAAGCGCGACTGCAAACCGTTGGATTCAAATTACTCACCTTTCTTCTCTTCCTCATCGTTCGACAGTTTTTGGGTTTCGTTTTTGGTATCTGCCTGCAAATCTTTGTCTTTGTTTGCCTTTTCCGCGCCGGCAACCGTATTCTCATCGCCTTCGCCTGCTGTTTCGCTGGCCTTTTTCCTTGCTTCCTCTTCTTGCCGCTGTTCTTCCTCGCGTTCTCTTTCTTCTTCGCTAAGATCTTCCTCTGCAAGCTCTTTTTCCCTCTCCATTTCCCATTTCAAGAGCTCCTCGCCCTGGACCTCCAGCTCGAGTTCTTGCTCTTCTTCGGCGAGAACCTTTTGCACGACGACAAAGGAAGGATCGAAGTCGGGGCTTTCAATGTCGTCGTCCTGGCCCTGTGCTATTTTTTTCAGGTAGCGACGGTACATGGTCTTCGCCGACTTGTTCATGGATTCCAGATCCGCGCCCGATTTCCATTCGAGATGCATGTGCGACAGATTCTTGTACTTGACGAGATACTCGTATTCGATGAGCGATTCCTTCTTGTTTTTGCCATTTGTGGATGGCGATTTCCCCTGGTTTTTGTTTCCCTTTCGACCACGCTTGCGCCGTCCGTCGGACTCTTCTTCATTTACGTCGTCGTCGTCGTCGTCGTCGTCGTTGTCTGCGGATTTTTCGTCATCGTCGCTGCTGCCGTCTTTTTTGTCCTTCTTGTCGTCGTCGTTTGAGTCCATCGGCCGCCTCCCGATAATCATGTCGATCCTGGGCGATCCGTCGAGTTCGTATTCCGGCAAAAAAGGAAAGCGTTCGCGGATGGGTGGAAGCGACGGATCGTAGCCTTTTTCGGTGTAGATGGGCTTCGATGGAACATCTTCGTCTTCGTCGTTGTCGTCGTACGGATCCAGCGCATCCATTKGGCCGTTGCTGTTGCCATTTTGCTGTTTCTTCGACGTGCTCTTGCGGCCGCCCTTCGATTTGCGGCCCCCCTTGCTTTTCCTCTTTTTCGAAACGGCAGTGGCAGCGACGATGGATTCCGGTGCCTTGGGCCCGTCTTCGAACAGATCGTCGTCGCTGAACTCCTGCTCCTTGGCGTAATCCACTACCTTCTTTCTGGCGCGCCTGGAGCGACGGCCGCTCTGCAATTCCGGTGATTGCCCCGATGTGTCGTTGGCGTTTTGCTCCGACATGGCGGCAATGGTCCACGGTGATCAATTCGGTGGCGGATTCTACGCGATGTCGAGGCGCGATGCAATGCAATTCGGTTATCGTTCTTGGTGGTTGCTGTTTCTATGGGTGTTGTACGAGAGGGTCAATGCTGTAAGCGTATGCCACACGATGCGAAGAGAACAACAGCGAAACAAAATCGAGTGAGTTGCCGACCACGGTTTGCCATCAGCTTGGATAGGGCAGAAATCGGTTGCAATTGCTGTTGCTACTGTTGTCGTGTGTGTTTAGTTGTGAGTGAACAAGCGCAAGATTGAATCTATCCTAGCAACTTTCGCTTCGCCTCGTGAATCCAGCTCCAGTTCGTTGCAACGCACAGCGTAATTGACTCGATGTGACAAATTCCAGGGGATCCACAGTGAAATTCGATGCTGGTGACGGTCGGTGCAGACGAAACCCCAAAGAATACGGTATACGAAGTATGATCGTACCAAATATTTTAATTTTATTGTTCCCGAAACAAAATCAAACATGCATCCTCCGCTCCAACACCAAAAATAAATTTGAAAACTCTGGTACACGCAACTCGTTCATTCCCATGTCGGATCTCCTCACAATTTCGGAGAACGAAACACCTCGATTCATCAATCAATCATTCGAGCCCCCAACAACTTACTTTTTATCTATTAATCACAATTGGGTACAAGACAATTGATTTAGTATTGTCTTTGTTTCACGACATTGACGCCGTGCTTAGGTTGACAGGAAAAACAGACAGAGCACGGTCGGGGACGCTGCTACGGAAAAGTCGCGTCGCTGCGTACAGCAGAGAGCAAAGGAAAAGTCGTCGCGTCGTAGCAAAAACGTTATTTTTATTAGAAGTACGAGTAGTACTACTTTTTCGGCAGCACCGTACACGGTACCGTACGGATCTACCGTACATAGCATACTGCGCAGTTGACTGATCAGTACGGCGCGCAACGAAACGAAACATAGTCCCGTACGTATCGTATTGTACGTACTGTACTGTAGGTCCAAGAATGCTTCCCTGAAAACAGCGCGCGTCCGCCGAGCCGCATCGCATTGCGCAAAGAATTACCATTAGAAGTACCTCTAATATCTACGGACTAGTAGTACCGTACATACGGTAGTACGGAGCCATCAGAGTGTTATGGTCCGCAACGATTGCGCACCCAAAAAATAGCCTAAAATGCTGCGCGCAAAAAAAAAGGTCCGCGATTGTCTTTCGAAAAACGTACGGTAAGTACGTACTTGGTACTCGTACCCTTGCCCGGTAAAACCCTAATCTTCTTGCATCAATCCGTGAACAAACATCAAATACACGATTGACGATGATTCCAGAAGAAAAAGTACTAAAATAGCTGTTTCTGGCGTTGGTCATAAAGTTGGCACGCTCGATCCAACGCAAAGCTCTTTCTAAATACAATTTGATGCATCATGTGTTGACAGCTGACCCGGTGCATCTCCCATTCCTTTGTTGTTGTCAACAGCGGTTTTTGATGCACCGTTTCGTGGGCTTAACGGTACGTGCGGTACTATCCGAGCATTCAAACTGCCATACGTACTGCACGATACAGTACGATTACCCACTATCCTCTATCACACGATCAATAATATTTCGAAAGAACACCTACCCAACAAGAGAGAAAGGAAAAGAAGCAACGAACGAAAGCATTGGCTAATCGAACACAATTGGTTTCACTTTAGAAGTGCATTAATAAAAAGAAAAAAACAACGTCTTGTGACTGTCGCTACATCTGTGTGAAATAGACTTGCCCAAGCTGCGTTGATCAACCGATTATTCCATCACGTGGGGAAGGGCCATCAACGGTCATATTTTGCGTTGCGTTGAGCCGTGAAGCTGTATGCAAAAGAAATGATTGAGTCGGTGAACGAACACAACGATATCCCGGGAGAGATGACGGCCTGTAGTCCGATCAATGTGATGGGGACTACAGCTAAGAATTCTGTGCCGACACACGAAACAGAAGCAACGCCGCCAGCAGCTACGAGTACTAATGCTTCTACGCCCTCGCCCCCCTCGCCACAGCCAACACCCTCAGAAAATCCCGCCATCACCCCAACGGCTTTTAATTCTTCCCCCCCAAAACTGAGACGAAAGGTTTCGGTAGAAGAATCCATCGACAATGCCGTCTCGGTCCAGAGATTAGTTGAATACTTTCTCGTTGTCAGTTGCAAACCCCGGTGGGAGATCTACAATTCCACCGCTGGGCACCCTGTGCCCGCCAACGGCAATCCTGGAGATGTCCCCAAAAGCCCAAAGCGCCAGGGAGCACGGTTTTCTCCGATCACCACAAGGCCCACTGCCATCGCAGACCAGGGGATACAAACGTCGACATCGAGCTCAAATACAAACACAACTATATCAGCGCGCGAAACCACAGGAACCGAACACGCTATCCACCATGCCCTCTCGACAGGAAAAGGCATTCATGGCGAAGAGGACGATGAGTGTCGGGAAGATCCATCGCTGTCGATCGCAGAAACCGCGCTGCCGCCACCGCAACCAACCGAGACGTGGAACCGCACCGAGGGGGCAGAAGAGAACATTCGCCTCCCAGACGCTTCGGAGCTCGATAACCTGCACGCGTTTTCGCCAAAGGTCACTGCAAGATTCCCATCGGAGGATCATTCCGACCACCCGCTGAATCCAATGATTACGCAATTTTGCTTTTCCGGGGGAGACGTCGTCCATCCCTCGACGGAATACAAGATGCCCAGCGCACACCACTTTGTGATGACCAACGACAAGGGACGAAAGGTATATGGGACGTGTCTTATGATATATGAAGAATACAAGCCACCCAAAAATGCACCCTGGCAGCAGCGATGTGAAAACATCTACCCGGCTTGGTGTGGTGGCACCGGCATCGAAGTGAGCGTCACAACGGAGGAAAATCGATTGTATATACCGAAGTGCTTGTGCATCTTGTCGATATGGCCCTACGTGACGGCTTTTCGAGAGTACCTCGCCCAGCTCTACCGTCTTGCCACTAGCACGGACTGTATGAAGGCGCCGATCGAACGATACGTGATGAATCTGTGCTCGGAAATCCCTGCTCCGCCCCCGGGGGCCTTTGAGGTGAAGATGAGCATTTTGGATTCTGTCATTCGGTTCTGGTCGCCCCCCGCGAAGCTCCCCATTGCATACGTATCTCTTCCGTATCAGACGCTGTTTGATTGCCTAGACATCGACAACATTTTGCACCTCTGGTACTGCCTGACGATGGAACGAAAGGTCCTCCTCTTGTCGAGTCAGCAATCGATCTTGACGGTTTGCTCAGAAATTCTTTGCTCCCTACTGTATCCGATGAAGTGGAGCCACCTATACGTTCCCCTGCTCCCGAAGTTCCTGTGTCCCATTCTGGACGCACCCGTTCCATACCTGTGCGGAGTAACAAGAGACGATTGGTTCAGTGTACAAAAATTCGTGTGCGACGAAACGATTGTGGTAGACCTGGACCGAAACAGCATCATATTTGGACAGCGCACCGCGGAGTTGCCCCAGGTGCCGGGGAAGAAATGGCTGAAACTCAACCACAGCCTCCAGGACATTGCCGGACATTTATTTTGGAGGGGTAGGGGTCTCGAGACGGAATACGACCTGTTAGTTCGAAAGAAGATCGACCACAGCGAATTTAAGGAAATTGCGGAGCGAAAGGGAGAGCACTTCTGGAAGGAAAAACTCGCGACGCTGGACCAGGCGTTCAATCTGCAGTATACACCGGATTCGGAGCATGTATCGAACGACACTACGGACGACGGCGATGGTGAGGAACAAAACATTTGGGATCGATTGCAAGAGGCATTTTTGCGGTTTTTTGTCGCCGTGTTCAAGGACTATCGGAAATTCATTCATGTACCCGACAAGTCCAAGCTGGAATCGCAGTCTACGGGCCCGGGGGACTGGCTGAATTGGGGACAAAACCACAAATTCGACAGGGATGGTTTTATCGCTTCTCAGAATTCCGATTACTACTATTACCTTTCAGAGCTCTGTTCTACGCAACAGTTTGACGATTTCATTACAAAACGATTGTACAGCCCGGAACTTCCGGACATAATTTTCTTTGACCAAAGCATCGATGCAAAACTGAACCGCAGCCGGCTGAAACTAAAAAAGGTCCACACCCCGTTTCTCCAGAGTGCGAAAACACACAAGCAGCTCGAAACATTTGTTGCCGTTGAGCCAAACACGTCCAATCTTCGCATGGAGGCTCCTTTTATGTATGATACCTGGCCGGACACGTTCGATGCTTCCTTATTTTGCCATCCCCGTCCCATCCCAGGTATGATCACGGCAGAATTCGATCGCCAGGCGTCACTGGTGAAACGCTTGCAACTGAACTGTTCTCCGACGTTTGACAAAGATTCCGATCTCGTCGACCTCTACGGGAGCGACTATGACTACACACCTGAGGGAATGTCTTTTACCGTGTTTTTCTTTGTATATTCTGCGGTTATTGGACGCGAGTGGCAGCAGTATCAATTGAAGAGGAGGGAACTCGAAAACACGGTACTACCGCCACCGAGTGCCGAGGCAATTCCCTTGGAAAGGGTCGCGGAAGAGTGCGAGAGTAAGGACCCATCCTTTGAGGTTCAAGAAGGGGAGAAAGCTGTTTCTGCCTCCCAACCAGATTATTTATCGGACTTGACTATGGGCGTGTGTGGCGGCGTCGTGTGCCCTGGCGGGGAGCGCGCAGCCGGGGATGCGATGGCGTACATCTCGGACAAGAACCCATGCCCGGATTTCACCTCGGATGCGCAGGCTGCGTACGACACCCTGTCAAATTATGTCTCGTCGCTCGATCCGACCGATGGCTGCCGAAACAGCAGCCTCTTGGACAACGACGATGCTTTTGCAGAATACGAGGAAGCAAGGGAGGTTTCTGTAGCCCAGCTCGACCTGGCGTTCGATGCGCTTGAAATGATGGAGACGCGTGGGCTGAATACCGATCCAGATGTGTTCAAGTCGCTGATGGAGGCATGCGGAAGATGCGGGAATACCAAGAGGGCTCTCGCATTGATCGAGATCATGAAGCGTGACGGCCTCGTTGCCGACAACGACGTTCTCATCTTCTTCATGGCGTCGTTTGCTCATTGTAGACCGTACGAAGAAGCAAGCGCATTTGCACCAACCGAAAGTAAGATGAAAGCAGGGCGCCGGGGTTCTGACGCATATTCCCAATTCCTGAAAAAGAAAATGATGGTAATGAGAGGAGATTCCGAAGGAAATATCTATAACATGCCCATTCCATCGGACGAAGATAGTAGCTTGAGCGATGGCTTATCAGACAGCGGCTCGGAAGTATCGACAGAGCCTGTGGCGTCATCTGTATTCCAAATGTTTGCGCCGCACCTGAAAAAAGCAAAAACAAAGAAAAAAAGACGGAGACGAAAGAAAAAGCAACTGAAAAATATACCCGAAAATTTGTCGGATCGAATAAAGAAGCAGCTCGAACTGGGAGAGAGTCTCTTGGAATTTCTCTACCCTGATATCTCCATTGACACCTTTGGCGATGCGTGTCCCATGTGTTCGAACGTTATGAACGAAGAGAACATTGTGTCCGGCTGGCAGCAGTGCAATTTTCAGGACTTTACAACGTCTTGTCCCCAGTGCAGCCACCGATTCGTGCCACGATTTAAGATTTCCTGTTCATCTCCTGACTTTGAGGGCTCGCAGGGACCAGGGACACCTCTTTATTGCGAATTTCTCTCTCCCTGGGTGTTGAGAAAGGAACTTGGCCATATTCTTGGTGGCACGAACAGTATCGATCAAATATTGGATCCCGCTTGGCGAAGTGGCAGGGACATACGAGCGACCATCTGGTGGAACCTGATCGCGATGTTCAAGCGATACCAGCTGCCTTTTTCATTTTTGCTACAGGGAAGTTTTCGAAACCGTCTTATCAATCCGGTCCCACAGGATTGAGTGTGCATTCGTCAAGGTTGTGTGTAGAGATGTACAGTACCAGAGGAGGAGATTATCCTGGGCTCGGTGCAAAATGTTCAATGGCAATAGAACAAAGGGTGGTGTGAAAGACATGAGGATAACAGTATTGAATGGTTTGTTATAAATTTTTTATGATTGTGCTTCAATTATCATTGAATTGAGCTAGATATTCTAAAAACTTGTAAACCGTCTGTATTGCGATGGACAACAGGATTCAATGTCGCCTGATTGTGTCCATGATTGATACGTACGATACATTACTATTGACAATACAATCCTGCGATACTAATAACGGGCACGTCTGTCCGAAGATCCGTTCGGCGTAACATACTGTACGGTACAATCTACCGTACGTTCGCCACGGTAGGTATTAGCGAACAAATCAACACGGCAGGGAATCGAAATAACACGACACGAAACCATCACCATCATCGATCCATCTCTAGAAAATCATGAGGGTTTGTTCGTTCCACTGGGATTGGTAATTGGATTTGCGGTAGCCTACGAACAACGCATCAAACACACCTCACACAAACTCGACGATGTATCTGGTGGCCAAGCAACCTCCGATGATCGGTTCGACGAGATTCCGCCACCGATTTGGCTCCATTCTGTTCGTTCTGCTGCCGATGCATTTGTCGGATACCCTGCTGCAATCGACAGAAGCTTTGACACTGCCAATATCTTCCCGTCGGCCTTGCACGACGCTGCCTATCCCAGGAGGAAGCTCGTCTTTTTTTCGACATAGTACCCACAAGCATGACTCGGTTCTATGTTATTCGACGAGGGAGCCCAAGCCGGATACAACAAATGATAGTGGCGAATCCTCCCTGGCCGAGAGCATCAGTCGGAGCTATGCGGAAAAAGAAACCGACGGCGTTGTTGAGCTAGCAACGACATCGTCCCTCCTTACCGATCTTTCTGTGGACATCGAGGACGATCTGATTCCGGCGATTCTAGAAGCCAGCGGGGGACGAAAGGGGATCGTTGCCAGCATAATGAACGCCATGATTGGATCGGGCTGCCATTTCATCGACGAAACAAAAACGAAAGCCGGAACCACACCTGGTTTGGTGTCAGACCGAGTCCTGTCGCTCATGGAGGGACTCTTCGATGCCGCCGATGTCACTCCCGACATTGTCACCTACTCGTTGGCTTACGAGGCACTGTCGAAGGACGATCCGGACGATACCGATGGCCTTGCCGATTCGATCCTCGAAACCGCGGAGCGGAGCAGCAAAAAAATTGCGGGGGGAAAACGCCGAAAACTGCTGGCCTCGTCCCGAAGAAAAGTGACCTCCAGCTTTTCCGATGCCGAAGACGACCTGCGGGAACTTCTTGGGGCTGACTTCGAAGTCCTGCTTGAGACGGACGGTTTTGCTGTCGTAAACAAGCCCAGCGGCGTCCCGTGCTTTCACGCAAGGACCACCACCGCCGGGAAGATCAAGCGGGGAAAGGGCAAGAAGAAGAAAGGAAAGAAGGGCCAGCAGCAAAACGAAAACAAAGCTAACGATCGGCTGCCCTCGGACGTGAGCCTGGAAGACGCGTTGGTGAGCTGCAACGTTCCGCTCTCCACGCTCAATCCCGAGGCATTGGGTCTGGTGCACAGGCTCGATCGGGGCTCTTCCGGCTGTCTGATACTAGCCAAGACCAACGAGCTGCACGCGAGGCTAGTATCAGAGTTCTTTCTGCGGCGGACAACGAAGCAGTACGTGGCCCTGGTTCGTGAGACACAGGCGTCGTCCATCTCCAAAAAAGGCTCGATCGATCACGCCGTAGGTGGAAGATCGGCCCGGTCCGACTACCAACTGCTGGAACGATACCGGTCCGATGGCGATGATGCTGCGATGGTCGGGTTTGAAATTTTTACCGGCCGAAAGCACCAGATCCGGGTGCACGCGGCCGAGGTTCTGGGGAGTCCCGTCTGGGGGGATCCGCTCTACGGTGCTGGTGACGGCGGTCCGAACACAAAACCACCACAACAAGAACGCATCTTTCTGCATGCCAGCCGACTAAAAATTCCTGTGCTCGGTGTCGACGTTGAGTCACCAGTTCCGTCGTGGTGGGAGTCCACGCTTTCGACGTTTGGGGAAAAGAATGAAACGAAAGACTAAAGTATTGTTATAGTTACTCTAGTAGTGTAGCTATCCCAAGTTTCAAAACCTTTATGAATCGAATCAAAAGTGACAAGTACATTAATTGCTATCCAACTTGATTCCTGGACTCCAAGAAAGAAGAACTGGTGTGTGTTGCGTTCATTTTCAGTTATTTCCCAGTAACTGCTTCAATTTCCACTGTACTAAAACTGTATAGTGCGTACTACACAACCATGATTTCGAGTAAATTGGTGTTTGTTCTGGAGTTCAATCGTTCGAAGAAGTAGTGTAATTTGGTAGGGGAGGAAACCTTCCTGAAGGCAAAATGATTGCAATACTGAAACATGCAAAAACCAGAGATGGAGCAAGAGACGCGAAACATTAGAAACATGTGTACGTGACAGAGGAAGGAAGGGATCCATCCAATCCAATCCATCAGTCCAAGCCTACCGAACATAACTTACTAGCCATCCAGCAATGGATCATCCAAAAGAATCCTAGGTTTCGAAAGAAGGTTGGTGTTTAGCTCTAGGATGGTTCCCCAGACACACGCACGGAGCGGTACGATAATGTCGTCAGTGTCGTTGTCGTTGGTATCGTTTGCCAGTTTCATCCCCACCACCAGTTCCGCAATCACCGTGGATGGTTCCACGACTCCAGTAGTCCGGTTTATAGTGCCCTTTCCTCTCAGCATCTGGGCCTGCCGCTTTCGCTTCGCTGCGTTGCTACATGGTGGGGCCTCCCCTGCAAGGAACCGGATCGATTTTACTTCCATCGAAGGGGGGAGGGACTCGGAGAGCTCCCCCACCGTGACCATGCAGAGCCCGTTGACGTGGTTATGGACTATCTGTCGAACCTCAATCGAAACACTGGCTGCGCACACCTGCCCATCGGTTCCCTCTCCGTTGTCTGAGTCCACGACGGTGTAGGACGACGAAAAGAAAAAGTCGGGCCGGTCGGGCCTTCCCGTCGGTTCCAGGGGAGCAAAGGATACCTTGGCGTAAGCTTCTTGCAGGGCGTTGGCTCCGCCAGTCGATCGCTTCCTTTTTCGGGACTCGGCATTTGCTGTTGCGGTTGGTGCTGATGTTGCTAATCCTTGCTCGGCGACGGGCGGTTGTTTCTCAGGATTCTGTGGATTGGTCGTCTCCTCGGCAGTCAAGACTGCTGCCGCTGGCTCTTTTGTTTTGTTTGCTTCCGTTCCTGTCATAGTCACGTTTGTCGACAGAGTTTTCGGTCTTGGTACTGCAATTCAAAGCGGTGGTGCTTGATAATGGACTTGTTGCTTGATGGAACAAAGAATGATTTTGACACGCCAAGATGAAAATCCTTCCTTTCGGTCGGTCCAACTGTGCGTCCTCAGTCCTTACACAGGAGCTCTGCTACTCGTTGCGTTACTAGTCGGCGGCATGACACACGTGACTCAAAAAAGGCATGTGAGTCTGGCCTTAGTACGTTTGCTCGTTTCTATCCAAGCAAGTCGTCACCAAGAGCAGAGAGGTTCATTCCTTCCTTCACGATGCATTTCTTCTTTTCTTCGAAACATGGCTCTCAAAAACAATTGCCATCAGAGTCGTTGCGCTGCGTACCGTACGGTACGAGTAATCGTACATCATCAGCAGCTCCTCTTTATAGCACTTCTACACAACGGATTCGGCATGTGTAATTCCTAAGAAACAATAGTCCTTGTATCTGGATGAGAATCTGCTGGTCGATCAGCGCGTACTGTCTATTCAAAAATCTAATAAAGCACAATCCCCGCACAAAACAATTGGGTTGGCAGAAAACAGGAACAAGAACACAGTTTCATGTCGACAAAGCGACAAAATAGATGCGCGTCTTCCTTTTTTCGGCGTGGATGATCATAGCTCTACGGCATCTCAGACCCTCTTCCTCTCTCTCGTTTCTATCAAACTTTGCGAGATCACATCACAGAACAATAACGGCGACATCTGGAAAGCATAACATCATTGGAGGTAGGGCATCCCCTGTATCGATCCTTTCAACCAATAGCGAAACAACGCAGAGAAGCGGTCCCTTCCGGTATCTACAGAAGCATCGGCGACTGAGAACAATTGGCACAATGATCGCCGTGGCCCAACACAATGAAATTGAATCCGTGGGAACTACCCATGGTGAAATTGCCGACAACCCATCGGTTTCTGCTGTCTCGGCTAGGCTGGTGCCACAAACCGAGCTCAAAGAATGCGGGGAGCGCCTCCGCAGCGGTGGCCTGGTGGCCTTTCCCACAGAAACCGTCTACGGGCTGGGATGCAACGCCCTGGATCCGGAAGCGATCACCAAGGTCTTCGAGGCCAAGGAACGGCCCCTGACCGACCCACTCATCACCCACGTTACGGATCCAAACATTGCCTTTGGCCTGTGGGATGCGGTCGACAAGGCCAAGAATACGGCTTCCCCCGAGGCTGAGGCCCTTCGAGCTCTCTGCGAATGCTTCTGGCCGGGGCCCCTGACTCTCGTCGCGAGAGCAGCACCAAAGGTTCCCCCGATCCTCATGGCCGGGACGGGATTCTGTGCCTGTCGTTCGCCGGGACACCCGCTCTCCATCGCCCTCATCGATGCCGCGGGGGTTCCGATCGCGGCCCCCAGCGCCAACAAGTTCGGTCATGTGTCGCCGACCCGGTCCAGCCACGTGTGGGACGATCTAAAACACGAGGATGTTTGGATCGTAGAGGAAGAACCGTCCAGGGGGCACGAAACCGAAGCGGACGCGAAAGCCGAAACCAACTGCTGCAAGGTGGGGGTCGAATCGTCCGTCGCCAAGGTCGAAATGATCGGGGAGACAAAAACCACTGGGCGGGTCACGCTGCTCCGGCAGGGGGCCGTCTCCCTAAAGGACATTGTGGACTGCCTCAAAAAGGCCGGCCTAGCAGAGGTTTTCGAGGTAGTGGCCATGACCAAAAAGGCCACCAAAGACACGGTGGCCAACGTCGCTCCCGGGCAGACCATTCGGCACTATTCGCCGGATATTCCGAGCTTTATCCTGTCTTTGTCGCTCTGTGAAGCGCTGGTGGAACCCAGCAGCGATGAGGACCGGGAACTCCTGGGGAGGTCGGTCCTGATCGATTTCGGGGGGAGACTGAGGGCGTGGAAGCCCTTCTCACTGGCGTACCGGGACCTAAGTCCCACCAGAGACTCGTCCGAGGCCACGCAGGGTGTCTTTGAGGCCCTGCGGTGGGCTGAACGCATCGAAGGTGCAAGCCAGATACTGTTTCCCGAGATTTCCGGGGAGGCGGAGCAAGACAACGCCCTGGCCCTTGCGCTAAAAGATCGGCTGACCCGGGCCGCCAGCGGGGTCGTGGTCGATTCGCTTGGTGAAGGAATGAATCGATAGTACACAAACACATATATTGCGAGTCGCCTTGAACCTAGTTTTGCACTCGAATGCTATTCCTTTATCCACAAGCGTTGTTGTTTCGTTGGACTACTTGTGACGTACTGTACTGCTGCTGCTAGTAGTATACTAGTAGTATTTCTGCGTTGTTATTATTGAAAAATTTTCCTATTCAAATTGGTTGTTTCTAGTAGTAGTAGTACTAGTTACTACTAGTATATCAATCACTTTTGCTGCCATTTTGCTCCTACTACTGGTATCAGGCTGCTTATACTGCATTGCGCAACAGAATTTGCAACAGATGCAACAACAAGGATAAGATAGGAGTAGTAGTACTACTACCATCAACAAGAGAGATGATATCACCCTTGCATACGATCACTAGCACTACTAGCAGTATTGTACTCTATGTACGTACGACGAGTACCCGTACAGCACAACACGATTGTTGTTGTTGATCGTAGAGAACATGTTGGAATGTCTGTCCATGGTACGTCAAAAAGGGTTCTTGCCGCCGCCCCGTCAGAGTCACTGTTTTCTCCAAATTCTCATTGCGACAAAGACTGAAACCAAACTACAAATGATACGCACCCTACGTACAGTATTACAGTGCCTTAGCAATTAGTTTCCCTTTTGTCGACCGCCACATTTTCCTCTCGGCTGTTTTCGTCCTTGTTTTCGTTTTTGTGAGATATTTCGAGAACGAACTGAGTTGTTGTAGTACCAAGAGCAACCAAGCAAATACCAAGGATAGGCAAACCAATCTGGCTAGGCCCTCCCCCACGAAAAACTATAAAATGACGGGATTGCTTCGATTTGTGGCCCGACCGTTCGGGTCGCTGTCAACGAGAACCGCCCACCCGAACAAACTCCTCCCCTCGGCAACAACTGCATCAGCTTCCTGGTCCCAACGATGGATGAGCAGCGACGAGAACACGGCGCTGAGGAACATCGGAATCAGCGCACACATCGACAGCGGAAAGACGACGCTCACCGAGCGAATCCTATACTACACGGGCAAGATCAACTCGATCCACGACGTCCGTGGAAAGGACGGGGTGGGGGCAAAAATGGACAGCATGGAATTGGAGCGAGAAAAGGGAATCACGATTCAGTCGGCCGCAACCTTTTGCCAGTGGGACGACGCACACATCAACATCATTGACAGTACGTCGTTTTGTGTTGCATATTAAAGTGTTTGTGGGAGGAAAGCATGGAGTAGAGCAACCAGTTTTTTTTCAAAATGTCTTGAGCTGTTGGCCTGTTGTTGTCTTTCGAAGGCTGATGTATCTTGTTTCGTTTCTCTCGTTTGATTCTCTCGTTATTGTGTTGTTTGTGATTGCGCCGTACGGTACAGCACCTGGTCACGTTGATTTCACGGTTGAGGTCGAGCGAGCCCTCCGTGTCTTGGATGGAGGTGTTCTGGTTCTTTGTGGTGTTTCTGGCGTCCAGTCTCAGTCCCTCACGGTGGATCGCCAAATGAAACGATACAACGTCCCCAGGTTGGCCTTTGTCAACAAACTTGATCGACAGGGTGCGTCACCAGACAATGTTATCGGACAGCTTCGGGATCAACTGAAACTAAACGCAGCTGCGGTTCAGATTCCTATCGGCTTGGAAGGGGCCCACGAGGGTGTCGTGGACCTGATCGAAGAACGATCCATTCAATTCGACGGTGAAAAGGGAGAAAATATAAAGTATGGTGACGTTCCCGAGGACATGGTTGACGAGGTAGAAGAAAAACGAATGGAGCTGCTTGAGCGATTGGCGGATGTCGACGACGAAATCGCCGAATTTTTCTTGATGGAGGAATTTCCCGACAACGAAACGCTGAAGGCCGCCATTCGACGCCGAACAATTTCTTGTGAATTCGTGCCCGTCTTCATGGGTTCGGCCTTCAAAAACAAGGGTGTCCAGCCCCTTCTTGATGGAGTGATTGACTACTTGCCCGAGCCAAAAGAGAAGAAAAATTACGCCCTTGATGTCACCAAGGACGAGGAGCCCGTTGAGGTCACATGTGACAAGAACGATTCCCTCCTCGCCCTTGCGTTCAAACTCGACGAGACCAGGTTTGGACAGCTCACGTACATGAGAATCTACCAGGGAACACTTAAAAAAGGAAACCACATCATCAATGTCAACGACGGAAAGAAAATCAAGCTTGCTCGCATCGTGAGGATGCATTCCGATGACATGGAAGAAATCGACGAGGCGGGTGCCGGTGAGGTTGTCGCAATGTTTGGTGTAGATTGCAAATCAATGGACACATTTTCTTGCGGGAGCACCGACCTGGTCATGGCAAGTATGTTCGTCCCAGAACCCGTGATGAGCCTTTCCCTAAAACCAAAGAAATCGACCATGCAGAACCAACTCGGAAAGGCTCTAAACAAATTTACAAAGGAAGATCCAACCCTTCGTGTTAAGGTGGACGAAGACACCCAGGAAACTATCATCAGTGGCATGGGCGAGCTCCATCTCGAGGTCTACATCGAACGCTTGAACAGAGAGTACGATGTCGAGTGCATCACTGGCGCACCGAACGTCAACTATAAAGAAACCATCAACAAGCAGCAAAAATTCGATTGGATCCACAAGAAACAAACCGGTGGGTCCGGTCAGTACGCTCGCGTCATGGGGTACATCGAGCCTCTGTCGGAGGAGGAACAGAAAGAAATCAAGTCCACCACCCATTTTGACAATCAGTGCATCGGAACCAATATTCCCCCCGAATTCTACAGCAGTTGTGAAAAGGGCATGATGGATGCCATCTTAGAAGGCGCACTCGTTGGTAGCGAGGTAGAAGGAATGCGTGTCGTCTTGCAAGATGGTGCAGGTATGTATCATGTCCAAAAGGGACCCTTGCATGCTGTTCCAGGAGAGTTCTCGTAGTTTGCATATAAATACTAGCATTTTCAAATGGGCTAGGATCTCACGGAATCGTCTGTTCTTTCTTTCTCGCTTCTCTTCACTGTAGCTCATGCCGTCGATTCGTCCGATATGGCCTTCCGCACGTGTATGGCCAACGCAATTCGAGATACCATGAAAAAGGCCAACCCCTCCATTCTCGAACCGGTCATGAGGGTGGAGGTCGAGATTCCATCCGAGTTCCAGGGAACGGTGGTAGCTGCCCTGAACCGCCGGATGGGGATGATTCAGAGCAGCGATGTCAACGACGACGGAAGCGGCATCACGATTCTAGCGGAGGTCCCCCTCTCAAACATGTTTGGATACTCCACGGAGCTTCGTTCCCTCACGCAGGGCAAGGGAGAATTCTCCATGGAGTATTTCAAGCACATCCAGGTGCCCAGAAACACGCAGGATGAGTTAATGAAGAAATACCGAGAAGAAAAGGAACAAGAAGAAGCTGCCTGATGGCAATGAATCCGGATAGATAGCCAATGCGGTTCGTTTTCAATATCGTCAAGCTTCTGATATACCAAAGGACCCATTTCAATAGTTTACAATTACAGAAATCACTACTATTGAATTTGAAATGTTTTTTCTACTTTCCTGCGGCATAATATCATTCGCTTTGCTATTTTTGTTTTTGCACCTATATGAAACTTGAAGAAGTCCATACAGGAATTCCATCTGTGCGTTATTCCCAGTTCTATGTTCTGTTATTCGTGGTTACTACTAGGACTTAGGTAACTATGCTATAATGCATTAGTAGTCTCAGGAGCAACAACAAGAAGGACGATACTATGGCAGTTTATGGTGCATTATCATATAACTACTACTGGTAGCAGTACTACTACTACTACTACTACTACTACTACTACTACTACATCACCCAAACGGTATTCATGGTATTGCCCATTTCAGGCAGTCGTAACCCTCAAATTTTCTGGTCCTACCATTAGATTATCATTGACGAATTAATAAATCAAACTTCTATTTGTATTCTGTTTTTTGAGAACATCTTTTCTCAATTTGGCTCTCATCCAACCCCAGTTCAACCCAACTTGATGGTGTATGCCTGAAAATTAGTATTCTTTGAACCAACAACCGTCCATTCACCCAAAACTCTCTTGTCACCCATGCATCTGTAGTTTATATGTTTTGACTATTATTCTCTTTGCAGAGACGGTGTCAATGATTTCAGCTCTTCTCTTTACAAACTCACTAAGGACAAGGAGGATTTTAGTAGACAATTTCATTTGACCAATACTAATCACAGTCCTGCAAGCAGTATGCAAGAAAATCTTGACAATAAAGTGATGTATAGCCCATCTGTTGAAGTTGTTGATTGATGCCTGATCAATTCTGAAATGAATGTTGTCGATTCTGATCTTGACAATGATGCACCCACATTTGACTCTGTTGAAGGTACCCACAACATAGCAGACGCAAACACAATAATGACCCTATCTGCAACCAGGTTTGTTTCTGCTCCAACAAAAGTGAAAATTAAACTAATGAAGATCATGAGAGACCACAATATACTGTTAGTTGTTGAGAGGGAGCTTTGCAAATGGGTGATTGAATCTGAGAGTTTACCTGGATTTACCTGGTGGAGTGCTGGAAACTGTCTAATTTGAACCCGACAAAAGGTGTTGGAGGAATGTTATGAAATAGCTCTGGGGTGATTGTTTTGAACCACATCTTATTGATTGGTGATCCAGCAATGCCATTGGTCACAGCAAACAAAATTTATGTGAGGTCATTCTGACGTGTGTTACATTCTCTTCTTACTAATGTGTCTTTGACAAAGGAAGAGAATCTCTCCTTCCCCAACCAAAGAAGCCCTACCTCTCCCCCCCCCGCGCGTGACCCCAAACTCACACAAGACACTCTCATTTGCAAACTCCATCAGGGGCAATGATGGTTGGAAACATGGAAGGGAGTTTGAATGAGGGGGTTGTGCATTTCAGTTGTGCCTTCTAGTAGAATACAACCCAGCCCCATTCAGAATTTAAATTGTCTTCTATATCAAAGTAATTTGCAAATCAAGAGGAATTGCTCTTAGCCTTTTCGGTGTCAGGAGCCTTGAAAATTTCCCAGTCACAAATATCTCTGATAGTATATTTCTTGAAGTTTTAACTGTGGATGTGCTGCAGTAACACTGGTGCATCAACACAATATTCTTGGTGGCTAGTGTTTGATATAGTCAATATTTCCTTATCACCTAGGAGGCAAGCATTGAGTTTGGCATCCTTCAAATTATCAGGGTTCTCCACCAGGCATGTCACCAAGTCAGGGGTGATGGAAAGATACAATTTACTGCCCAAGATGCTGGTTTGGTTCAGAGTTTTAATTGTACTCCAGAGCAAATCTGTTGTCCATAGGATATCAGACCGTGGGTATGATTCATACATACGACACGTACATACGATAAGTATCTACAATTCATACACACCATACATATATGACTCACGCTATCCCACTGGATTCATATGATTGACATGACTCATTTCATTCACTTGCGTGAGTGACTCGACTCATTCGATTCACACATCACTCGATCCTCACAGCGATCCATTCTAGATTTCATAGTTCATTGATCCCCGATAAGAGCATTGACTCACTTTTCTACTAGCACACACTTTACATCACTTTTAGGACAGTCACTCCCACAGGTTATGACACCCTTCCAATAAAAATTCATCACCACCATGGTGATAATGTTTTAGGCGTGCTCTCTCCTCAATACGAACTCTACCGACACAGCGTCGACACACACCTTTGAACAATACATCGACGGCGCATACGATCGTCACCGCCATCGTATGTGATATCTCCAAGACAGATGATTGCGTCAAAAGTAAGGAAACTGTGACACCTGCCATGATGGTGAGACTCACCTTTGTTGTCTTGTTGAACCTGATGGAACTTTCAGAAAACGATTGGAGTTCTGCCCAGTGTGGTTGTGTATTCAAGTTTTACTCTTCATTTGAATAGCCACAGTCAACAATCAACCGGCACTTTGCTGGGTCACACTTAGACGCAGCCAAATTTTGTTGCTTTTGGTATAGGTTTGTGGTTTGTCACAAAAATCATGTTGATTGAATTGATCCCTTTTCCCATCATTGTCTAAATTGGCATTAAACAAGTAACCATGGTCAATAAACCCAGCTATTTGGTCAACATGGTTAAGTGGGGGGTGAACTCCTACTTGGTTATAAGCCCACTGGCCAACAATCCACTGGGACAGCAACTGCAAAACATCCCCGTAAGTTTTAAGTACAGATAACTTGAAATTGCCACGTGGTTCCAAAGTGGTAGAAAGACAAATCTGGAGGTTCTTTGCTCCATGCAGAAGTTTTGTGTCATAGAATTTGGTGACCCTTGATTGGTACTTGCAGAGCATTGATAAGACATTTTTCTTCCATGGAAACACTATTCATGCATGGACTTGCATGGCATGATCTAATTCTCTAACTGTGTCCACTAAGGTTGCAATTTCCATTCTCCTAGGAACAATGAAGCTACACTCAGCAAGCTTGGGAAGAAAGAACATGTAGAATTTGTCATAGGTAAACAGGGATTCATGACAGTGCTCAAAGGAAAGGGACATAAAGGCCTTGATGCCATCAGTTGAATATAAGTTTTGCAAACAACCCATAGGATTCAGAAACATGAATTTGGATCTTAGGTACAGGCTGGCCATTGCCTTGGACGGGATGTAAATTTTGCATGTCATTCAAAACCTACTAAAACCCACAAGAAAGAGGAGTGATATGCCAGAAAATTATTGACACTCAGAAAAAGTTGGCTTGCTAGCAAGGAAAAAGGAGTGATGGGTAAAAGTGTGCGCCCATTTCACACATTCCATCACCCCTACTACCAACACTAAAAAAATTATTGTCATGCAGTACGTATGGTTTTTGCATCAATTTGATCTAGATGCCTTTAAACAACTTTTACTACTACAGAAGCATTGGGTTACATACATTATCATTTTAATGTAAGTAAGTTAGGTACACTGAGGTTTGGATCTCATATATGTTGAGCAAGTGGGTGTGGTATGTCAATGAATAGGCAAAAGTATCAACTAACAAAAGCTAAACAGTTACTATGAAGCACCAATTTGACCTGGGTATTGCAGAAATTTGTTTCTAATTCTTCTACAGCATAACAACACCAGACATGTCTTTGTCCCAAGTAGTTGGACAGAATGAAGAACAGGAGGACATAAGACTGTGCCATGTAGAAACCGTGTTGAAACAACAAACACTGACAAACTACGTAAGGAATGTTTTCTTCAAGCACACAAAGTTTCCCCTAAAGGATAAGGTTGTGGAAAACATAGTGATAAAAAAAGGAAAAAGAAAGTACTGTTGGGGAGAGTCCACCAGAGGGCCTAGTAATGTCTGCCAGTTGTTGGGCAGGAACCATCAATGGGGCATCAGTAACTGTGTGCAGACATAACTCACAGACACTGGCTTGAAAAAATACAAGGGTAAGAAAGGAAGCACTGCATGTATACCCATTAACAAATTAATTTGGTCTGATGATTTGTTTGCTTCCTTGTTATGTGAAGAATACCAAAAAAATGGTGTAGTTCTGCCTACTTTCACAGGAAAATGTTTCATAACAGAAAACAGTTGGATTGGAAGCAAGGAATGCTGGACGAGCCTGCAGGGACAAATTTTGTTCATAAAGCTTGTGAAAGAGATAGTAAAAAGAAGACTGGAAGATAGTACAAGAACCATTGAGATAGCACTGATGGCAGACTATAGAGAAACCATGGGTGAAGACAGAGAGGAGAGAGAGAAAGAGAAAAGAAAACTGCAAGAAGAGGAATTGAAGTTTGATGTCACGGAAGTGTGGGACACAAGTATCTTCAAAGACGCCAAGGAATTTTTGGGCCTGGTAGTATAATTTTGTAAATTACTGAAATATTATTTTGTGACAAAGAACATACAAACAATGGAGATATAGTAATACAACTGGGATACAATAAATATATGGATTGTTAGAGAGAATCGTTGAATTTCAACTGTACGGTATTAATTATTTTCTCTCTCTCAAATAATGAATTGATGAAGATGCTGTCTGTAGGATATCAGACCGTGTGTATGACTCATATCTACGACACATACATACGATACGTATCTATGATTCATACACACCATACATATGTGATTCACTCAATCGCACTGGATTCATACGATCGATATGACTCATTTCATTCACTTGTGTGAGTGACTMGACTCATTCGATTCACACATCACTTGATCCTCACAGTGATCGATTCTAGATTTCATAGTTCATTGATCCTCGATAAGAGCATCGACTCACTTTTCTTCTAGCACACACTTTACATCACTATTAGGACAGTCACTCCCACAGGTTAGACTTTTGGTGGAATCTTCCTCATTTTGAACGTACACTTCATGCCACACGCAAAAACTGTCGAGTCCAAAAATATTTCTATTAGTGGTAGTTTACTA